AAGGATACCAGAGGAATCAAAGTGCTTACCTCAGAGATTGGCGTCATTTCACCCTACAGAAAACAGGTATGAATAATCTTTAGTTAACTCTTATACACCTAAAATCCAATTTTAAATAGTTTTATACCTTATTCAAAGTCATCTCTGCTTTATCTTTCCTTAATATGTGTGAACATCAATCCTTTTATGCCTAAGGGTGATTAGGATGTAATTTCTCCTCACACCATCTATGGGGAATCAGTCTGTAAGGTTATGAGAGGAAAGGAAATGATCACTGACTAAAGAAGGTCTTGATCATTAAATAATTTCTCCTTGTCAGCACCAAGATAAATGTATATGCATAGAGAAGTGAAATTACAATATGCAGACTGGTGTAAGAGCATATTGGGTTAAGTGACTGATTTAGAAATAAGGTTTTAACAAGGAAATTCCCTAAAGCTGAAGCTTCCTTACTCTGTTCCCATCAGCTATCAGTTTAACAAAATATTGTACATAAGTTGTATGCACAGTTCTTCAGGCAGCAGAGAGCTTAAATTTAAGTTTTAAGCTGTTGTAAGAAAACCAGACAGACGATAATTTTTAAAATTTTCTCTTTTTTTTTTTGGAACTTAAGTGTGGCACTCAACAGAAAGCATTTTACAGGTCATGACAAAATGTTAATACTTGATCAGGAAAATAATGAAAACACTTGTAATCAATATCATGTACCTGTACATAATGCAAATTGAAATGTGACTCCTAATCAAGTGAAAAAGTTGTAGACTGAGATGGCTCCTAGATACTTTAAATTTGAAATGATCTCCCTGCCTTTGGTTGCGACAGTGGAAATGTGGGAAAAACTGATAATAATCGACAAGTGAATGAGTACAAATTTTAAGATGATACAAATTTACATCTGCATGTTACTTGATTTTAGGTTCAGAAAATAAGGACTTTGCTTGACAAGGCTAACATCACGGACGTGAAGGTTGGTTCTGTTGAAGAATTCCAAGGACAAGAAAGGAGAGTGATAATCATATCCACTGTGCGGAGCAGCCAGGAATATCTTCAGCTTGATGCGCAGTTCAAACTGGGTTTCTTGAAGAACCCAAAGGTTTGTTTACTCTTAAAGGAAAAAATAAAACTGCATTTTAAAATGATTTAATCGCACCAGCTGTCCCTGTTTAATTCTTAGCAAGAAAGTTCTTTATAGTAATCAAAAGATGTTTCTTTTTAACCCTTTTGTAGCGGTTTAATGTTGCAATCACAAGAGCCCAAGCTTTACTGATTGTGGTCGGAAATCCTCATGTTCTCAGCAAAGACCGACACTGGAATAGGTAATAAATAGACTTCTTTACAAGTGTGTTATGATAATTTAAGGCACAATGTTTTTTTATTACTGGAAATCAGTCAGTTAACCCTTTCACTCCCAGAATCTCATCAATAATCCTCCTTATTGTCTGTCATTTTATTGTTTTTATGATACTTTGGAGAATTTGGTGTTAGATCAAGTACTTATCTCGTTATTGATATTTTTCTTTATTCTCAACACTTGTTGGTTCTGATTGTTCAGATATTGTTATGAGAAATTCTGTCTTGGTCACTCATGGGAGTTTAAGGGTTTTAAAACAATAGAGCTATTTCAGTTTTTGTACACTACTAGACAAGTGAACATAGCTTCAAGGTTCCATAATATTTAAACAATTTGATTTTGAATTTAATTGCTGGGGTCATATTGTGTAAAATGTAACTCCAACTCCTCAAAAGTAGTTTACAATGGATGTTATTTTCATCAGTTGGGAGAATTTGCTTTAAGATCTCCTGAGCTGAACCCATTACACCCCACTGTTAGTATAAATCTTCTCCATACTGTTCTCTATATGCTTCCTGAGGTGCTGACAAGGAGAATTTGTTTAACAATCAAGAGCTTTGTTAGTTAATGATCATTCCTTTTATTCTCATGACCTCAATGTTAGATTCAGGGGTGATATTGTAAGGAGATGTTAGATGCCAATCACTCTTAGGGGTTAAAAGGTTATGGTTTGTTCATTTTCAAAACTGTGTGGCTTTTTTGTTACTCAATAGAGAGTGTTTTTCTATACTTTCAACAGGTTCATAAAATTCTGCAAAGATTCAAAAGGCTACAGAGGATGTGATTTCAAGCCAGCAATTGAGGATGATGAAGATCTTATAAATCGCCTGAGGCGGGTTCATCTGGACACAAAGGAAGCATTAGAAGCTGTTGAATCTACAGCAGATGACACTGTAACACAGGCTGAACAACCTGAATGGCGCAAACCAGAAGAATTTTAAATTACGAATTAGATGAGTTTTTAAATTGCCATAAATTATAAGGAGCATTTTATATGGATGTTGTTTTTGCTAGAATTGACCTCAAAGGTCCATAGGTAATTAAGATAACTGGTCAGACCAGAAGATTGTGAGGCAAAATTTCATGGCCCACCATCCTTAGTGAGATGTGGGGACCTATTGGTTAGTGCCCTTGACTCCAAGTCCAGAGATGCAGCTTGGAGATCTGGTCAGCTCAGAGTGTTGTGTTCCTGGGCCAAACACTGTACTCTCTCCAACCAGGAGTATAAATGAGTACAGGCAAATTTTCAAGGAAGCCTAATGAAATTTTAGGGGGGGGGAGGGTATCCTTGTGATGGAGGGCATCCCATCCAGGGGGGAGTAGTATAAGGACCTGCTAGATAGCCCACTTGGTTTGAGTACTGACTTAACCTACCTCAACCATTCTAAGAATTTTCTTTGTCTTAATAATACAAATTATTTAGCGAGTACTAAGTCCTTGTGAAGTTTTGGCATTGTTATTAACCGCAACAAAAATTTAAAGCATTTTTAACATTTTACTGCTATTTAAAATATTTAAAGTTCTTGAATGAAGTGTTTTTAATTAGTTTTACCTTATAAAAATTGCACATTTGCTGGGTGGTGCATGTTGATAGAGAAGTTTCTGTCCAGCAATAAGCCACATTGTTGACAGATGAGCGAATTTGGAAGACTGGCCACAGCTTCATTAATCCTTAAACCCTCAAGAGCTGATTGTTAATTCTCTCCTTTAGCTGCTAGACAATAATTATTCCTAGTAAATAAGTTACGAGAATATGGTGTTAGATCAAGATTAACTACTTGTACCTGATAAGATTGAGTCTTCTCATTACCTGTTTGCTGGATAATGTATGGATATTATGGGGAGAAGTTACATGTTAATCACTCTTGGGAGTTGAAGGGTGAATGGAGAATTCACCACACCAAATAAAAGCTGTATTTTAACCATGTTTTAATAATCTTTGAAATGTATTCTCCTTTTTTGACACTACTCGGGATTAATTTATTCATTCCATTGTAATTTCTTTTCTTTATTGATTTTAACACTTAAACTCCCATGGGTGACCAAGACAGAATTTCTCCTTACAATATCAATACAATATCAACCAGATAAGTGATGAGAATAAAGAAAAATATCAATTTGGGGATAGTTAGTTGATCCAATACTAAATTCTCTGAACTAATGTTATAAGAATTGTATGGTTGACAGTAAGGAGAATGAAAAATTTCATCTGGGAGTTGAAGGGTTAAGTATTAAATGTAGATTATAAGCTCCATTTTCCCTTTGAGCAGTTAGAACTCATGGCTGTTAACCATTTAACCCCTAAGAGTGTCCAGCATCTAATTTCTCCTTACAATATCAGTCTTGAATCAAACATTATGGTCATGAGAATAAAGGAGATGATCACCAACCAAAGAAACTCTTGATTGTTGAACAAATTCTCCTTATCAGAACCCTAGGAAATGTCTAGAGAGTCGTATGGAGAATATCTGTACTGATGTTAGGGAGTAAAGGGTTACAGGTTCAATTCTAATTTTAAGTCCAGCTCTTAAAAAAAAATATTTGTCAGAAACGGTATTTAAATGTCATCTTAGTTTTGACATTTTTTATTTGAGTTACCCATTAAGCAGAGCATAGAAGTAACTGTTGATAAAACACCAACTTCTCCTTAGTTACACAAGGCAATACAAGGCAATCTTCAAGGAGAATCTGGTATTCTATCTGGGGTTTGTTGCAATTTCACCCCTAACAACATTAAGCAGATTTTTTCATGCTCTTATTTCCAAATTTCAGGCACAATTCTGTCCACAGTCTGATAAATTAGAGAGTGAAGCTAAATTAATCAACTATTTCATCTGATGTTTGTCTCACTTCTCATCACTTCCCTGCTTGACAATATATAAATACTGTGAGGAGAAAATCACACTTTATGTTTCTTTCCTTGGGATAATCTTAGCTGTGTTTTCCCTTGACTTCACATTGAAAAATACAGAGACCCTTGCAAATAAAAACTGTTCTCCTCAGTACCACACCCAAAGAATTACTACAATCATGTCACAAGTCTTAACCATCAACATTATTATTATCATGATAAACTATTAAATGAATCCAGACCAAGTTACAAGTGAGATTTGACAACATTGTTGAATGGCAATTCATGGAAAAAGAGAGAAAATAGAAAAACAGCAGAATACATGTACTTTATCGTTTAATATGGAGACGTTTATTGGTAAAAAATTTACTTTCATAAGCAGGTTGCCAATCTCATCTCTATTCTCATTTTCCAAAGCAATCATAGAGCATAGTGATGCATTTTGGAGAACTATTGACTCAACCCTTTTACACCACACCTTCTGTATCAATATTCTCAATCCTCTCTATATTTCCTTAAGTACTGGCTGAGAGAATTTGTTTAACAATCAAAGCCTCTTAGGTTGCCAATCTTTCTCTTTATCGTCATTAATTTTTCTAAAGCATCACAGAGCATGGTTGTATATTTCGGATTACTACTGACAACCCTTTACACCATAACATCAATATAAATATTCTCAATACCCTTTGCTGTAAATTTCCCTTAGTACTGACAAAAAGTGTGTGATTCAGGGGTGATATTGTGAGGAGAAATCGGTAGCTGATCACTTGTGGTTTAAAGTTTTAATGGAAAGTTGCTCTAATAATTATTCAACAAGTCTCCTTGTCTATCATTTTCCATGTTTTCTTGTGTACTCTCCCAGTGAAGGCGTCTTACATATGCTGGCTTACCACTGATGAATAAAATACCATCCTGTTTAGATGCTTGATTGACAACTTCGTCAACATCATCCAAATTCCAAAACCCCACCACACAAGACATAGAATCATTGCTCTCCATCCTGAAAACCACAGATTGGACCATAAGGGACTGACTAGTGAAATAATCAATGATAGCTTCCTTGCTAGAGTTTCGATCTAGATCATCAATGAGAATCATCATGCTTCGCTCTGTCTCCCGTTTAAATGCACCAGTTGACAAAGCCCTTTCATCAACTCTCCTTAAATCGACATTCTGGCCACAGATCACATGATCATGCAATAAAACTTTCTCCACAGCACCTACATCAGTAAATTCAACAGTGGGCCAATCTGTGTTAATTCGATATTTCACACCATGGATATCAGCATGGGTGGGTCGATGATGATCTGACGTCAGGTCCATTCGAACAATGTCTCCAAACTGTTCAAAATAAAGCTGTAACGCTTCTAGGGTGATATCTGCGGGAGCACCACGTAGAAGTACTTTGTTTGATTCCCTACTGTCAGACAGTGGTTTCACATAGATTTTAAATCGAGATGCAATCACCTGCAGTTGTTGCTTCAGAGCCATTTTAGCTGCATCTTCTCTCTTAAACACAACCATGCATTGACTGCTTTGGTTGCTGTCAGAATCCCTTCCAAGAACCTGCTCCACCTCCCCAAAAATTGAAAAATGCTTGATGAGGTCATTATCAGATATTTCAGGGAAAACATCAAAGACATTGATAGTCCTTTTTCTCTTCCTTGCAATCTCAGTTTTGTCTTTAATCTTAAAAGGTCTTGCCACATATATCTTCCACCCTTTAATCACATGCAAAGGGTTCGACAAGACATCTTTGACAGTTTCTGGATTTTTGAATGTTACAAATCCATAACTTTTCGGGAAAACAATCATTGCATCTTCAACTTCTCCAAAGGTTGAAAAATAATCCTTCAAGTCTTGCTCGGTTGTTCTGTAGTCACCAGTTTTGAGCGCAGATACATATATTTTCCTTTCTTGCAGTTCTTCTGATTGAATATCTTTCGTAATTGGCAATTCGCGGGATTTTTTCAGAGATCTCACTGCTAGGAGCACTTTCACGTCCTTGCCGTCGATACGATGGTTGGTAGAGGACAAAACTTTCTCCGCAACCTTTGGACTGTCAAATGTGACGAACCCATAGCCTTTTGATTTTCCACTTAGTTGATCGCGGACTACTCTGGCGTGCTCTATCTTGCCGTACAATTTAAAGTAAAGTTCTAAAGTCTCAGCATCAGTTTCCACCGTACCTTCTCTCAGGCCAACGACCATGATTTTCCTTTTCTGGTGTTCAGGAGAAAGATTCCTTGTGGCATAGGATAGAAACCTACTGTTTCTGGGTAAATATAGACTAGTGGCAGAAAAAAGCCTCGGCGTTTGAACGAAGAGTGGGCATCGAAATCCGGTCCTAGAGAACCGTACTACAACCGCCATTTTGTTTCCTTCGTATTGCATTGCATCAAGGGAAAGTTTAAAGAATGAACCCAGTCCCCCTGTCCTTTTATACTTCGCTATTTGTTTTACCCTAAATAAAGCACAAGCTTTGCTTTTTATTTACGTTTTATGGAGGTTAAATTGCCCAAGAGAAAGGATACAAAACTCATAAATAACATTAGGTATATATCAAATCTTGAGTTTTAACAAGGGCCAAAAAATTAAGATTACAACTGAAATTTCAGTTCAAAATTCATCTTCTCAAACCCTGAGCTCACTTACAGCATGACAAACTACCGATCAGTATACACCACTATAATATAAGCTCAAGTCCTTTGCTCACAAGTTTCACCCTTTACATCCTAGTATCAGTCTACAAATTCTCCATACTGTTCTCTATACATTTCCCAAGATGCAGACAAAGAGAATTTATTTAACAATCAAGAGCTTCTTTCATTGGTGATCAATTCCTTTATTCTCATAAGCTTATGGTGTGTGATTCAGGGAATATATTGTAGGAGAAATTAGAAGCTAGTCACCCTTGGGGATCAAAGGGCTAACCTTTTTTTAGATCAAGCAACATTCCCAAGAAACAATTATTTAACCCTTTAACTCCCAGATCAAATTTGTAATTCTCCTTTCTGTCAACCACACAATTCTTATAATGTTAGTTCAGAGAATGTAGTATTGGATCAAATAATTATTCCCAAATTAATATTTTTCTTTATTCTCATAACTTATCATGTTGGTATTTTATTGATATTGTAAGGAGAAATTCTTTCTTGGTCACTCATGGGAGTTAAAGGGTTAAGCACCAAAATATTTAAGAATCAACAGATGGCACTGAAAATCAAAAGCCACCACCCTCCCACCCACCCTCTACAGAAAAAAACCTGGCTTCTACCCCTTAGACACAAGGAGTTACAAAATTTTTGGAAAAAAATAAAAAATAAATTCTTCAATCACAATAAATAAACCTCTTACACATTTCAAGCATAGTAAGTAACTTCTATTCACAGCTCTGGAAGTAGTAATACTTTGTTCTCTATGTGTATCATGTTGGTGATACTAAAGATCAAATTGCATACTTATTGACCAAGTGGGAGGGCCAGACAAGACAAAATTTTGCTTGAGGTCACTATATACAGACCTCACTGTCCATACATCCTGACCTTGAGCCTTTTCATTTTCCTGTCTGGCCTGCCCTCCATAATTCAATAAGCATTTTATCATATGATGGCCCATCTTTCTATTTCTTCCTTTTGAACATGTTTCTTCTCAGTAGGGCCATTTGCAGAGCCATAGGACTTTTTCAAGACCTACTGGTACTTATGCCATAATTTATGGCCCTTATTCTGGGATCCTTTTGTAATATTTTCTGATTAAAGTGGATGCACAAATGCTTTTCTTACTGCCATGGCAAGTAAGTTGGGTTACAGCTTAGGATATTGTACACCAAATTTCTCTTAACTAATTTTCAAGGAAATTTTTTGGTGGCCAGAAAGGAGAACAGTCATATCCCGAGTTTAGGGGTTGAAAATAATTTTCACAAATTCTTATTTTGTAAGTTAACCCTTTAACTCCCAAGATCTGATTGATAATTCTCCCCTGTAGCTGTTACACATTTCCCTATAAGTTAGTTATGAGAACTTGGTGCTAGATCAAGATAGCAGCTTCTACCTGATAAGTTTGAATATTCTCATTACCTGTTAGCGGAATAATGTATGGATATTGTAGGGAGAGGTTTTATGTTAATCACTTCTGGGAGTTAAAGGGCTAAAAGTTTGTAAATGTCATATTAATGATTGACCCTTTCACTACCAAGATCTAATTGGTAATTCTCCTTACTATCTGCCATACAATTCTTATGATGTTAGTTCAGAGAATTTGGTATTGGATCAACTAATAATCCCATAGTTGATATTCTTCTCTATTCTCATCACCTGCCTGCTTGATATTGTATTGATATTGTAAGGAGAAATTCTGTCTTGGTCACTTATGGGAGTGAAAGGGTTAATTGACTAACATGGGAAAAATAACCTCTAACTTAGGTCTCCATCAGTCCCTCTCACTTTTCAGCCGATGAATTAAAGTCTTTCCTCCTGTTTCTTGACCCAGTAGAAGCGACGAAGTGAAACTGGACTTCCACCAATGACATGCTGTTGCTTGGATGCCACTTCCACAAGCCTGTCCACGTCTCGCAAGTTCCACAAATCGGCAAAACAAACTGTCGGTGAAATTAATTTCACAGTTTTCACTCTGCAGGAGTGTTGATGAAGATAGTCTTTTATGACATGTTCATCAGTACCTGATGGTAAGCTTGTCAGCAGAATTCTTAAACTAAGGCAGTCAGAAGGAGATAACATCAGGGGCGCTCTAACAACCTTCACCTTAAATTTATTTATTTCATGGAAAGTTTTCTGCAAAGTCTTTTCAAGGACTGACTCGTCGCAAAATGCCAGTGAAATACCATTCAAGTTAGTTATTGCTTCCTCAGACTTGTAACTTGTAAAACCAAGGTGCTGTATCAATCCAAACTTTTCAAAGTAAGATCGCACCATTTCTAGTGTCATGCTCTCAGGAACATTACTCACATAGAGTTTTGGCAGTTCAGCTACAAGTGTCACTTTGTCTTCTGAAAGTTTGACAACAAGTGCATCTTTTTGAGTAGGGATTTGATGGGATTCATCAACAACAGATTCAACTCCACCATCAATGGAATCGAAGACAACTATGCAAGAATCTGGCCTCTTTCCACCATCTGGAGCATTTGCAAACACAACTTCTACCACTTTTCCAAATTGTCCAAAGTGTTTCCTGATTTCCCTTTCTGAAGTTTCTTCAGAAATGTTAGTTACAATGATCCTCTTTGGCTCATTTTGAGTAATGTGTCGTGAAGCCAGTGACAATTTTACATAAATCTCAACATTTCCAATGTTGTGGTTTCGAATCTTCAAGATCTTTTCAGCATCACATGCCTCTTTAAATATTACAAAGCCATAACCTTTGGATTTCAAAACAAATATCTCCTCAATTTCTCCATATGAGGAAAAATACTTCTCCAACATTTCTTTGCCGATGGATTCTTTGAACCTGGAAGGAGTCATGATCACAATTTTTCGTCCTTCTCGTTCAGCAATTTTGATGTCTCTAGGATTTTGATTCATTTTAACATCATCAAGCGCTTTCTCAATCCGCAACTGTTTCCTCTGTTTATTGGAATATGCTAAAGACACTAGCACCATCATATCATCAATCCTATGGTTTGTGATCGTCATAACATGTTCAACACTATTGGCACCTTCAAATGTGACATAGACAAGGTCACTGTTTTCTTGAACTTGTTCAATTTTGCCAAATACTGAAAAATAATCATGTACAGATTTCACTGTCATTTTACCTTTGCAACCTTTGCGCTGTGTCACTAAAATCTTTCGTTTCTGGTCTTCAGGACTTGCCAGTGAAGCTTTACCCGTAAGTCTCACTTTTCCAGATTCTGGACCTTGCAAAACTTTCACCGATCCAGGAGCTGTGCTTAAAGCCCCTTCTTGTGAAGCTTCCTGCCCTAGCATTGCCTGTTGAGCTATGTTGATAGAAGAATACCTTGTTTCTTTGGGGGTCACCCCTGACTCAGAAGCTGTCCTCTGAGGCACTGCTGCAGATACCCTTTGATCAAATGTGGCAGCTGACTCTGGTGCTACCTTCATTGATGCTGATTCAGTGAAATCAGGCACTACCATGGGCTTGGAGCTAGTTTTTTCAGATGTCCCTTCAGACCCCACCCGATCAAGTTTAAGAACTGTGTCAGAGGCAATCCTGCCGGATGCTGACGCCTGCTGATCAGGTACCACTGCTGTTTGAGGAGCCACCTTTGAAGGCTGCGAGTCTGCCCTCTTCGTTGCTGGGAACACAAGCACGGGCCTGCCCTTTATTGTATGATATTTTGAGGCAACAGCTTCCTGGAACGACGGAACATTGCTGAATGACACGAACCCAAATCCCTTGCCGGTATCTTGATCTTCTTCTTTACTTCGTACCCATTTCACGTTGCTTATTTCTCCGTACATGGAGAAGTAGTTTAGCAAGTCTTCCTCGTGAAGCTGACGCACTTGCTCACCTTTCTTCTTCTGTAGTACGATCATGATTCTGCGATTTCTGTCGGGGTAATCAAATCTTCGAGGTGACGTAATATTCTCTAACTCTGAGATACCGACTTTTGTCGTTGATAATTGTCGCTGAGTATGCCATCTCTGTCCACTGTAAAAACTCAGTCTGCATACGCTTGAGTTATATTTATGTTTCGTTTCAAATAAAACAAAAGACTTCCAAAGATGAGAATATAACATGCATGATTTAAAATGACGGCTAACATAAACCACGGCAGCCATTTTGTGTAGAACACGTGTTCTGAAACCCAGGACAGCCTCGGTCAAACCGAGCATATTTCGAAGTGGAATGGTATGATGTCATTTCCGGCAATTTGGAATATTGGAACATTTCAGGGATAATGGAACTTTCCCTCGCTAACAACTTGACTTGATCTCAAAATTAGAAGATGCCCGTGAAAAATGACATTAAAATAGATTTAAAAAACTGCGAAGCCTCTAAGAAGGATCATCATCAAAAGCAACGACAGATATGTTATGAAAAAAGCCCTGATATCTCTACTAGATAGCCCATAGTTCCTTGAGCAACTAATTTTTCCCCAGTTTCTTTTAAAACAATCATTTTCAATTTCTCTTGATCAGCAAAGCCTCAAAGCAGTCCACTTTTATTGTTATTAATTATGGCGGAGGAAAAATAAAGAGGTGGTGGATTGAGATGGAACAAGGTCTACAGAAAGTTTTTAAAAAACTTTCTCTAGTTTCTTAAAAGAACTTTTCAGCTCAGCTGTTAATAATTCGCCGCCTTCAAAGAAGCCTCCGACCCCATCACCCCTTCACCCTCCCCATTTCAATTTTTCCAACCTACTTAAATTGATCGTTCAATCAAAATGTTGACATTCCCATAACCCTGAGAATGGAATCACCTTTTGTTTTGTTTTGTTTTTTTTTTTCTTTTCAAACAAAGTTATTTACCCCGATCACTGCTTTCATAACCTCAGCTGTTTCGGTCAGGGTATTTTATTTAGATATTCATCATCAGATTCTAAAAACACTAAATAGGAAATTTTAGATATATAGATCAACTTTATTTTAACGTGTTAGCCTATCATCAGCATTATAAAAAGCTGGTTACTAGTAGGGGCGTGAACTAAGTATAATAGTTAAAAGCTACTATAATATATATATATATATATATATATATATATATATAAATATTATGAGAGGTAAAAAATATATATATAAATATATAAATATATTTAAAAATATATATATATATATATATATATATATGAAAAAAATAAAAATAATAATATATATATATATAAAAAGTCTTTGATTTTTTTTTGATTGATTTTTCCGTTTTACAGTGCTCGATGCGTAGGAATAAAAGCGCGATATATGTTGCGACAGGGGAAAAAAAAGAAAAATTACTCATCATTCGCTGACCCGAATTATCATCACTCAATAAACTTAATGAGCTCGTGTCGTCATGCCGCCACAGAAACAAAACGTCACTGCGTAACAATTGAAGTATAGTTATGCAAATTTATAAAGTATAGAAGCGATGGTAAGAATATTCTTAACAATAAAATCCCCCGATGGGTAAGTAATCACGAAACAGGCTTGTAAGGGATTAAGGCATAGTCTCTCTGTTTTTTTTTCCCAATATCGCAACATACATATATAAGCGTATATATATGTATGTATATATGTATACACTTATGTCCATGACTTAAGCTATTAATGCATTAAATATAACCCTAAGAAATAAATTGATATATTACATTTGGTCTATAGATCGAAATAAGCTCATCAAACGCAGCCAAAGTTTCATAACTACGTATTTCATTCGGTGAGAAATTCCAGATCTTAGCACCATTATAGCTGAAACTCTCCTTTAAAAATTAAGTCTTGGACCACGGAACGGCCAACTTATTATCAGCAATCCTTAAATGATAATTGTTGGCCGAGCTCAAGTTCCTGAAAGTATTCGAAAGCCTCGCAAGAGTCAAGTCATGGAAGACCTTAAACATTTGTCCAGCCTTAATATGAATTCTACGTTTGCTTAGTAAACTCAAGCTAAGATGACGTAGAGCCAATTCAGTCAGTCCAGCCTCGTTTTCGTAACGCATAATTACCCTAGCACATCTGTAATGGAGTTTCTACAGCCTTTCGGCTAGTATACTTCCTAATGAATCCCAAACCTCACAACAATGGTATTTTAAGGTATTTTTATCATCTTGCTATGTTATGCGAAGTTAACTTGACCTATTTTAACCACTATGTAACCGTGTTACCAAAGCCAGATGACTTAGAAGTACAGAACTTTAACTTAACTGAGGTCAATAATATATTGTACATGCTACCACTGAAACTTTTTCCAAGCTACACTTATTGTCGAGAGTTGAAGATAAATGAGTAAATGGGGTAAGTTTCTAAAGAAACCGTGGTGCTGCATCGGTGGGAGAGTATAACAGGTAATTTAGTGTTAACAACTGTGTTGATAACGTAAATTAGCCACCGTAAAGAGTTTAAAGGCTGACGTTTCGAGCGTTAGCCCTTCGTCAGAGCGATTGACGAATGGCTAACGCTCGAAACGTCAGCCTTTAAACCCTCTTATAGTGGCTCATTTACGTTTCCAACTCAGTTGTTTAATATGAAAGTGATCTTTGCAGTAATACACACTACTTGAGTAGTAATGAAAATAAGGCCCTGAAAAAAATTCAGACCTGTTCGGGATTTGAACCCATGACCTCTGAGATACCGGTGCAGCCCTCTATCAACTGAGCTAACAAGCTAACTGGGAGCAGGTCATTATATTGGTTCCAAATATATGACTTTCATACGTCCACAGTCGTTTACTAAATTAAGAGTTGAGGCTAGATTGATCAAAACTCGCTGTATTTTAACAGCAAAGTATTATCTCACTTAGTGAGTGAGCTAAGACTTAGCTCACTTATGATGATTGCATACTGCTTGTCTTCAACAGGCGATAAGGTCGACTGCTTTCGGGTCTTCTTAAAGCAAGATATTATATTTTTATATTTTATTATAAAAAAAAATAAATATTATAAATAAATTATTATAAATAAAAATAGATGCTTCACTGTGATTGGCTGGGTTTTTTCACAGCTGTGATTGGCGCGTTTCGTTCCTCGATGTCACTGAGTTGTTTCCTCGGCAGTCCGATGTCGTGCGGCTTATTTTTTAGTTTTCCCCGTGGGCATCCACGCTTCAGGAGTTCTTATATACTCCAATGGCCCTGTTGATGTTGTTAGGGAGACGTCTTATGTTAATTGCCACTTTGACCTTGCCAGTGTACCAGTGAGGGTCACGTTCAATAAACTTAACCTCATTTCAAAACGGTTGTGTTGTGGGCTTGCTCTGAAACGGCAGAGGTCTGGGCACGGTCTAGTCGGATGTCTCGGTCGCGCTCCTTTATTCTTGCATTGGTTATCCAGTCTCCTCGCTGTAAACTTTGCTGTATTCACAATCAACGGCGTCTTTCGTTCCTACTAGCTCTGATCTTAGTTTAGTTTCCGACTTGAGACAGTGCGACGCCTTGTTGTTGTAGGCAGCGGCGTCGCTGTTCGGACAGACCTTTAACATGAGGTAATACTGCGGTGGATTTGAAGTTGACATGCTGTAGGAGGTTATTGACGTTTCCAAGGATTTTGAAACTCTACGTCGACGACAACTTTACCATTCTGGGTCGTGGAAATGTCGATAAATTCTTTACGAAATTCGCTGTATTTTTATACCAATTTTATGGTCATATCTTGGTTGAATCTGGTTAAATCTCGGTCGAATTTACGTCAAATTTGGTCTGTCTGTTTGTTTACTATTCATCTGTAATACATCGCCGTTAACCATCAGCTGGTTTTGGGACTTGCGACGCGTAATAAATCCCAGCATCTCGCTCTGAATTGTTTGCAGTTGCTGCAAGCCTTACATTGAGATAAATTCCTCTCATTTTTGTAGTCTTTCAGGAATTATGCTCACTCTGTTCATAAAATCCTAGTTTTCTTAATTGCGAATCTAATTCATCTACAAAAGCGCCTTGATTTGGCTCGTCTTAATCTTATCCGTCTTGATCCGGCTCAGAAAGTACATTCTTGAGATTCCTTGCTGTTATTCTGTCTCTTTTCTTTACTTTTTCACGTTCCGTGGCATTCAAATAAAACGCAAGGTCAAGACCAACTTCACGCCACGACTCCACATTCATAGCTCGTAAGGTGATACCTGCCTTACTTAAGTTCTGGAGAGTTGTTTTATTTTTGTATTTTTCTATATGATATATAAATGAAAACTGGATGGTGAAATTTTTTATATTATCCGTGTACTTTTCGTAAAATTTTTTTAAGTTATCCGCACAGTCACTACAAGGGGAGTAGTTTGAAGTCAGAGTGATTTCGATGTCACGATTCTTTTTCACCACATCAAGAAATTGGGGGTCGCGAAGCATTACTTTTTCTGCGTGTTGACGGTGTTTGTTTTTGAAGCGTTCATTAAAAATGTCTTTTCCGTCATTGGCTTTCATAGAAGCGATGAGGTAGGTACGCTTTGGCCAGTTTTCACCGTAGACTCCAGTGGGCCATAGTAAATCTTTCAAGAAATCGTCTAGAAAACAAAAAAAAATATGAAACAAAAATTGAAAAGCAAACAAACTTAAACATGATTACTAGTACGTAGAAATAGGCATAAATTCTCAAATCAAATTTTAAAAAAAATCACTGACCCAGAAAGGAAACTAGGCAAATAAAACACGAAATAAACTCTTTGCAACGTCTTATACCAAGTAAAATACCCCACCACCCCCCTCCAAATGAGTAGCAAAACTCATTTTCGCTTCAGCAAAGGCGACCACTTGTAGGTCTCATGGCTCAAGTGATGTTATCTTTTACCTTTGCATGTACACAGAGCGACTAAATGATAAAGAAAAGAACGAAAGAAATAAGGACGGCTTACTTACCAGTGGCCTGAAAGATATCAACACAAAAACACATACCCAAGAAGAGAGCCAGGAAAAGAGTGCGCGGAACAATCGACAGGCGAACAACTGGACAGACATAGGCACTAAAGGCTGATAAGTGGCCCAAATACATATATATATTACAGAGTATTTCTTGGCCCACATGTAACCTCCATGCTTTAAATTACGTATGCAGTTACTGAATTTCCTTCACGTACCTGGGACAGAGGAAAACCATACCCGTAAGGTTCCGAAACAAGTCTGAGTTCGGAAGCTTGGTGATCTAGTGTCCTTTATGTCTGGCTTGTCTCTGTTTTTCGGAGTAACTGTGGCGTAAAGATCGGTGAAACATAAGTTCCACTGACTAACTTAAGATATCCTTTTGATCCAAATTATCTGTTAATAATGGCTACATTCCCACAACAGTAAAAGGTAGGAACAACATTACATGATGTTGAATTGTTTTGGATATCTAGGGACATTTACCATTGTAGTCAGAACCAGTGGCTAACCGACATGGTGTTCTCTCTCTTTTTTTTTTTTTGTGCAGTTATAATTTTATTTGCGCGTGTTGCTTGAGCTAGTTTACCCCAACAGTCCAATAGATTGCATATTAAAAAATATTGCATTTCCAAAAACGATTAGCGTTTAAAACTCGGGGGAAACTGAAAGAATAATTTTAATGACAAGGGCAAAACTGATTGCAACAGGTTTTAGTTGTTTTAAAGCTTCATGTTTAAAATAATCGCCCTTGTGATGTCCCTGGTGGCAAATCGCATTGCTGATAAAAAATGATAACTCAGATATTTCTTTCGCAGTTGGAGTGTTGTTGTATACCATGGCCAATATTTGTGTTCCACTGGAAGGTTCGCAAAGTGTTCCTGAACTCGCAAATAAAAATAATAAATACATAATTAATCGAACGTGGCGCCAAAAAGAGACAAATTGAAATTAGTAAAAAGCTGAATACGTCTCTAAGGCAAGAATATTTACACCTGAATTTTGCATTTTGTCGGATGTGTTGCCGATTATCTTAGTCGAGTGCATATCGAACGGATGATTTTTAAAGCGCAGCTAACCAAAAGGTGATTCGTGACAATTTTTTTCGTTAGACGCTCCTGCCATCGATGCAAGTATCAGTTCGTTATTCAGAGAAAGAATCCAGTTAAACTATCAATTTAGGGTATCAGCGAAGGCGACAGATGTTTAGCAAGCGACCCTGTGACACTAGACAATGGTTTAAACAGGAGACCAACGTAAAGGCAACGGAAATTTCCTCTTCTTGATCATCTTCCTCTAAGCTGCGAAAAAGATATGGAACTATTGCATGAACGGAATAAATTTGGCCTTCGAAACACTCTACAAGCTACCGTAAAAATTACCCGAAGACAGTTCGAAGACGGTTTCATGGCTTTGAAGTTCTTCTGTAACGAAGTGGTGGTCTAAATTGTGCCAAACGCGCGACTGACCTGTTCTTTTAAGTGGAACGCGGAAAAAACAGAACACCAAACCATAAATATGTCAAAACTATGTTGATGGCCCATCAATTTTTATCTTAGTTTAAATTGAAAATTAACTGCGAAACGAGATATGGAACTTTTGCATGAACAGAATAAATTTGGCTTTCGAAACACTCTGTAAGCTATCGTAAATAAACAAATGTTCAATCTTAATCTGAAACAAAATGTATTTTTTTACCTCAGCCAAGAGTTTCTCCTTATTACTTCAATATTTAAGAAGAAATCCTACTATGATGATACCTACTATGATTAAAGATTATTCTGCCAAGGAGGACTAGTGTTTGGCGAGCGCATGATAATGGACAAAGGTTTGAACCGGAGATCTTCGTTAATAGCGAAGGTATCATCTTCATCTTACTTTCGATTTTAATTTCCTTCCTGTTGATTGCAATTACGTCATGTTGAGTTTGCCCTACCCGTGCGGTACTGGGATAAGTTTGCTTATTATGGTCTGGACCATGTGCTCGAGTTTATTGTTTTTGTCACGTTTTTCCTTCAGGCCCACAAATTTTGTGTTTGTTTCGTTTAGTTTCCTTTATTCGAATCTTATTGTTTCCCTTTTTCTTTTAGTCAAACCAGATCTTACTTCTCATATGCTAAAGACAGATCAAGCCAAATATTTATCTATACTTTCGCTGAGCTGAAACAAAAAAAAAGATGAGACAAGGCAAGAGATTATAGTCTCTCAGATAAAGGGATTTTACAATCGCTCAGGAACACCTGCAGAACACACTTTTTTCCTCGCGTTCTTAAAGGCGAGCGGAGACAAACACTTTGCGGGAGTCACGCACATACCAAATAAATCAATTTTACTCGACAAATTCTATTGGACAGAGCCACTTAAATCGTCGTGTCTTTCTTTTAGATCCAATGTTACCTTCGGAGATTATCTAACCCGTCAAAAATATTCTTATGTTGATACCTAGTGACAACAAAAGCTCAACTTGCGCTCGCACTGCTTAAAAATGTTCCTGTTCCTAAAGCTAACTGAAGTTCTTTCAGCACCAGTTTCATAGATACAGGATCTTCCGTATTGTTTTTCTTCCTGGCTTTCACTGCGTGCATGACGTCACTGGTCATATCTTTAATGTCTTTCAACTCGCTTGTGCAGACTGTTATCTTTTGTTCCTTTTCTTTGTCTCTAGTTCCTGAGGAAGAAAATTGAAGAGATGATATGATAATCTTTCACAGGTTGACCCCACAATCCCCCCCCCGGCCCTCCCTCGGCATTTCTTTGCAGTGCGGTACATATTTATACTTATAGCTTATAAATACAAATCAATAACCGGTCGATGCTTATATCCGGACTTTGGGATCGGGAGTTCGGACCACCAACCGTCATTGATCCTAAGCAAATTACATAAAAACTTTGTCGAAGAAATTGAAAAATTCGCTCCAAATATTTCCTTTTTGCTTTTGTAACATGTTCAAGAGACAGAATACGTGGTTTTTACCAAATAGGAGTATAAGTTTTTATTAAATCGAAATCAAATCCAACAGAATGGCAATCTTTTGGAAATTTTTTTCCTCGAGTGAAGGATCCGGAATTTGAACATGCTCAGTTCCTTTCCGACACGCGATGAGCAAGACCTAAATTAATATTATGAAACCAGGGGATTCATTTATTTCATGTCAAAACTTTCTCTCGAAATGCAAAGTTATTCTCGATATAGTGATAAAAAACGAGGATTTAGAGCTTGCTCTCCTTTTAGCAATCCGATTAAAATACAATTCATTTGTATAAAAAAAAAATTAAATAAAAAAAGAGAGCGAACAGGGAATAAAACAAAATAATAGCTAAAATCAAGTAAAGAAGCCTATTTATATCCTACCTTGAAGGATGTTGAGTGGAAATAAATCATTTTTGCCCAGGAAGGACGAGCTCACAGAGATCAAGAGTCCACATGGCGCTGCGCATAAGTTCAACAAAGAACAGCAATGGTAACAATAAATTGATAATAATGACGGTAATTTTAAAATAATTTAACAAATAACAAATATAGAAATAATAACGATGATAATAGCCATAATGATTAGGGCTTTTATACTTGTAAATGTCTAGAATGATGGCATCTGGAGGAAATTTAGAGCCAGATTTCCTGAGGATGCAAGGTCAGTCAGAGTAGGAGGGTAAATGCGCAAAATTCACACATTACTTGACAGGAAGTTTTGAAAGCGCGCAAAAGAAGAGAAAGAATAGAACGATAAATTATTGAAGATTTTTCTTTTTTTTCATGTGTTTATACATAAACCGGACTGACGATCGTCACTTCGATTCGAGGATTCACTGGACTTGGACTGGCGCTGTCCCTGTCTGGTTCAAACTGAAGGTGATCGCTAGCACCGGGGACAGGGTTCGGGTAAGTCGGGTAGTCGCTTGATAATGCAGTGGAGGCTGATTTTGAGCCAGGAGATCACCGGTGGTGTTAATTCCCTGCAGCCTTCTTTGGTTTCGTGCCTCTGTAGGGATCTTCGTTTTGACTAGCGTTCCTATAAAGAGAAAGACTATAACTTCTAATTAATCGACCTCGTAACTGAAAGTCTGAAGGGCAAACTCATGAAAATAAAGAAATATTTACGGGGATGCACGAAACCCTGTCATGTTACCTTGTGCTACAAGTAGGCGCGAAATTAGCCAAGCGCATCAGAGGTCACCTCAAAACACTGCAGGCGATTTCCTATATTAGCTACGTTCTGCTTTACGATTTGCCAAGTCACCTCAGAGCGCTGCAGGCTACTTCCTCTGTTAGAAACGTTCTTTATGATTGGCCAAGCCACCACAGTGAGCAGATAAGGCGTACTTATCAGATCAGGAACTATCATGGGAAGTTCTTTTGTTCTTTTTGATGTATCCATGGAAATAACCCAAGGGTCGTTGCGGTGAAGGGAGAGCGGTTACACACAAAAACGTCGTTGCCCGTGAGCAAACGCTATTCACCCTTGGCTAAAAGGGCTAGTCTAACCACCTGACATTAGACAATGGTTTAAATAGGCGGCCTTCGTATAGTCAATGGGATTTACCCTTCTTGCTTTTTGCGGGTAAGAATATTTTATAAAATCTGATTATTGGAATATTCATAGAAAAATTAACTAGATTTTCATTCTTTTCTGCCCCACTTGAATCAATCGTTCAATCAGACTGGTGACACCGCTGTAACATAAAGAATGGAGTTGACGTTTTTCTTCCTTCAAACAACACTGTTTACCGTGATTACAATTTTCCCAACTGCAGCTGTCTCAGTCACACCATTTTATTAATTAGGCTATCAAAATTCTGCGAACATAAGAAACGAAACATTAAGGATTTTTTTATCATCTTGAAATAGTATTCGAAATTAATCTGACCAATTCTTACGGTGGTGTATTGCGTTACATTGCGTTACCACTGTAGGGACATTTGACACACCATGCACCATTAAAAGCTTGAGGAAGAGTATTTAATGCAATCTAAATAATAATAATACATCTGAAAATGTAGTAACTTACACAGCAAAATTATATAATCACACAATTCCAAACAAAGGAAGTCAGGTTATTGACTCGCCTCCTTCAACTTTTTAGGGCTTTAGGTACAGAGAAATAGGTACGGTAAACAGTTACAATTAATACAAAGTTGAAAGTTTGAAAGCTAAAAGACATACATTACAATTATGAAACCCTATGCATTCTAGCAAAATAGGGTCAATTACCAGCGTAACTCTTCCCAATCATTCGTGCTTACAGGAAATCATTAATTTTTGTCACAAGGTTGTACTGTACTCACTCAACCGTGTTGTAAATCTACTTTCCTAAGTAAAAGTAAAATAACTAATTACGATTATTGTATGGTAAATATACTATCTTGATCACTGAATAATTAAAAGACAGTTGAATTAAAGCATGCAGTTAAAGAGGTCACTTGACCTATGAATACTCTACACTAACCAATATTTAAGTGTACAATGAAAGCCAGACAGATGAGATATATATATCAGATAACTCTATCAACAAGCTAGTGTAACTGAGGTCAATAACTGACATATTACACTTGACTAGCACTTTCTCTAAGTTACACTTATTAACAAAAGTTTTTTTTCTCTCCTCTGGCATTTGTCCAGAACCACGCCTTCTCTGAGACCGCGCCGTTTCTCAGAGCCACAGGTCCTTGTGGACCTGCGTTTCAGTTTTCAGTAAATGTTAACGAGTTTAATAGGAAAGACGATTCTTGCTCGGGTGGTTATGTAAAGAGCACTTGTTTCAGTTTATAAGCTGTTTTTTTTGTCTCTTTCAGTTATTCTTTCTTTATCTTCGACATCCATAAAATCAATTCCAACTTTAAGCCACGAGTCTGCATTCATAGCTCGTAAGGTTACACCAACTTCGTTTAGGCGTCGGAGGCCAGACCTATTTTCTTCTTCTTGTATTTTAAATAAGAATGGAAACTGGATAATGAATTTTCTGATTTTCCTTTCGCGTTTTTTATAAAAACTTATTAATTTACGCGCACATTTACTACATGGTGAATAATTTGAAGTCAGAATGATTTTAACATTATGATGATCATCTACTGCGTGAAGAAAGTCCTCATCGTTAAGCATTCTTTCCTCTGCATGTTCACCGTTAGGTATGTTTCTGAAGCGCTCATTGTAAATCTCCTCACCATTATCGGTTTTGACGACAGTGATTAGGTACGTGCGCTTCGGCAAGTCGGTATCAGGGAGTCCAGTCGAAAGTAAAGTTGTAAGGAACTCCTCGTCTATGGCGTAATCAAACAGTACCATGATTTATCAAAAGCAAGAAAAAAAAAAAACTAACAAACACACAACTTACATAGGTAAAAGTTAAAAATATAAACACATTTTTAAACAAGAAGCATTATCTCTTTGTAGTTTTCTTTGAGTTAGTAAAACGAAGTAACATATTTTTGGGATCAACTGAAACTAATTTTATTGGAAGTGTTACCGATTAATCTTGTCGAGTACTTATCAAACGGGTGATTTTTAAGACGTTGCTAACCAAAAGGTGATTAATTACAAGTTACAAACACCAATGAATTAGGTCTCCAGAACACGCTTTAAATGATTGAAAATATTACCCGAAGTGGGTCTGTAGGAAGCAAAGAGATACAACGATATTGATATGGTGTCGCAAATGTACTTAAGGAAAGCCTCTTTCATCATTTCGTACTCCTCCTCGAAATAGTTTGTTAAAAATCTGTTCTGAAACAAATTCAAGCCCTAACATCGTCAGAGCTCCTGTCATAGATGCAAGTATTAGTTCGTTATTCAGAGGAAAAACTTAGTTAAACTATCTATAAGGGCATTATCGAAGACGACAGATGTTTAGTAAGCGACCGCCGGACGTTAGGCAATGGTTTAAACAGGTGGCCTTCGTAAAGGCAACGGGATTTCCCCTTCTTGAATTGCTTATTGCGTGTAACAATATTTTATAAAATCTAACTATTGGAAGAGTTATGGAAACAAGTTTGAAGACCCATTAATTTTCGTCTTGGTTTAAATTGAAAAACAATTTTCCCTGAGCTTGGAAAAAGATATGGACCTAAGGTGTTTAACGGAGCGTGTACCTAGGGCTAAATTTTTGAGAGGAAAGAGACCGAGCGTCCGATAGTAAATAAACTATTTCTGATCAGACGCCTGGTGCCTCCCGCTTGCGCGTGTTGTTTGAGCTTGTTTACCCCAACACTCCAATAGATTGCATATTAAAAAATTTTGCATTTCTAAATACGTTTAACGTTTAAAATTTGGGAGAAATAAAGAATAATTTTTAATAACAAGGGCAAAACCGATTGAAACCGGTTTTTAGCTGTTTTAAAGCCAGTTGTTTGAAATAATCGCCCTTGCGATTTACCTGGTGGCAAACCACATTGCTGATAACAAAAAAAAAAAAAAAAAAAAGAAAAAAAGAGTGTCGTTATGTACAATTGTCAATATTTGGGTTCCATTGGAAGGTTCGTAAAGTGTTCCTAAACTCGCAAATAAAAGTAATAAATACATAATCGATCGGGCGTGGCACCAAAAAGAGGCAAATTGAAATAAGGAAAACGCTGAATATGTTTCGATAGCAATAATATTTACACCTGAATTTTGCATTTCATCGGAGGTGTTGCTGATTATCCTAGTCGAGCGCTTAAGACGTCGCTAACCAAAAAGTGATTCATTACAAGTTTCGAACCGTCAAAATACCAATGAATTAGGTCTTCAGGACACGCATTAAATGATTGAAAATATTACCCGAAGAGGATTTGTAGGAAGCGAGGAGACACAACGATATTAATATATATAGTGTTGCAAATGTACTGAAGGAAAGCCTCTTTCATCGCTTTCCATTCCTCCCCCAAATAGATTGTTGAAATTCTGTTCTGAAAGAAATGCAAGTCTTACCTTTGTCAGACGGTCCTGCCATCGATGCAAGTATCAGTTCGTTAGTCGGAGAAAAAAACCAGTTAAACGATCAATTTATGGTATTATCAATGACGATAGATGTTTAGCAAGCGACCAGGTAACATCAGACAATGTTTTAAATAGGCGGCCTTCGTATGGCAGTGGGATTTCCCCGTCTTACTTCCTGCGGGTAGCAATATTTTATAAAATCTGATTATTGGAATATTTATGGAAAACAAGTTTGATGACTCATCAATTTTCATCTTAGTTTAAATTGAGAATTAATTTCCCCTAAGCTACGAAAAAAGACATAGAACTGATACACGAGCAGAATAAATTTGGCCTTTGAAACACTCTGCAAGCTATCGTTCGTTATTCAGGAAAAAAAACCCAGTTAAACTATCAATTTAGAGTATTACAGAAGACCACAGATGTTTAGGAAGCGACCACACGACATTAGGCAATTGTTTAAGCAGGTGATATTCGTAAAGGAAACGGGATTTCCCCTTCTAGCTTCTTGCGGGCAACAATATTTTACAAAGGCTGATTATTGGAATATTTATGGAAAAAAAGTCTGATGACACATCAATTTTCATCTCAGTTTAAATTGAAAAGTAACTTTACCTGAGCTGCGAAAAAGATGGAAGTATTGAATGAGGAGAATAAATTGGGCCTTCGAAAGACTCTGCAAACTATCGTAAAAATTTCCCGAAGACGGCTCGAAGACGGTTTCCTGGCTTTGAAATTCTTCTGTATCGCAGTGGTGGTCTAATCTATGCCGAACGCTTGACTGACCTGTTTTTTAACTGGTACGTGGGAAAAATAGAACACCAAGCTAAAGCTATAAATGAATCAAACTGTAGAAACAAGTTCCACGTACCGTTCACCTCGAGTCACACCTAGTTTTGGCCACTATGATTTGGATAAAAGTAAACGAAAGGTCAATCTGAGTCTGAAACGAAATGTAAGTTTAACCTCAGCCAAGAGCTTCTTCCACTGATTCAAGTCTTACTTCAATATTTAAGAAGAAACCGTATTATGATCATAGTGGATTATTCTGCCAAGGAGGACTAGTGTTTTGCGAGCGCATAAAAATAGACAATAGCGAAGGTATGGTGTCCATCTTGGTTTGAGTTCAAATTAACTTCTCCTGAGGTAAAAAAAAAAAAAAAAGATGAGATACAGATGAGAATGTAGTCTCATAGTTATATAATGGGGTCTTACAATCGTTCAGGAACACCTGCGGTACAATTCTTTTTTTTATTTTTGCGTTTTTATGGGCGTGCGGAGACAATTCTATTGGACAGAACCACTTTGTTGGAAGTTAATGTTGCTTTCAGAGATTATCTAGCCCGTCAGCAATATTCTTATGTTGATATCTCAGTAACCCTATACCTAGTGTCAACAAAAGCTCAACTTGCACTCGCACTGCTTAAAAATGTTCCTAAAGCTAACTGGAGTTCTTTCAGCACCAGTTTCATGGATACAGGATCTTCCGTATTGTTTTTCTTCCCGGCTTTCACTGCGTGTATGACGTCACTGGTCATATCTTTGATGTCTTTCAACTCGCTTGTGCAGACTTTGATCTTTTGTTCCTTTTCTTTGTCTCTAGTTCCTGAGGAACAAAAAAGAGATGACATGATCATCCATCACAGGCTGACCCCACTACCCCCCCCTCCCTCAGCATTTCTATGTAGCGCGGTACATATCTATACTCATAGTGAAAGGAGGTTTTGTGCGGGCAGCGTGCGTGCTTACCCTTAAATACAAATCAATAACTGGTCGGTGCTTATATCCGGACTTTGGGATCGGAAGTTCGGACCACAGACCGTTGGGCAACCGCGATCATTATTTTAGAGCTTGAAAGCTCTGTTAATGTTAACACAGTTGGCTTTTTCTTCCGGCTCTCGAAATAAACAAGTCAACTCTCGATTCTCAATAAAGTGAAATCATTTAGCCCAATACTTTCTTTATTCTGCAAGCATGTTCGGTCAAGATGGCTGCATAATACCTTCTTTTTTCCCCATTTTTATGTACCTCGATTTCGTTTCCGTCCATAAAAGCGCAAGAAAATAATTCGGCCAATATCCAGCCATCTCGACGTCATGTTTGGTCAATAACATATATTTTAACCTCTACCTCCACTGACGTTCTTTTTTCACTACACTTTTATCATTTTTTTCTTTCAATCATTTCCCTCACCCTTTGATGTCCGTCGAACCACAACCGCGACTTTCTTCAATACAGCATGGACGACACTACATGCCATTTCCACTTGGCTGAGAAGAGGAGGCAACGAAATGATTAAAAGAACGGATAGGAATAACAAATAGACACGCCTAAAAACCTTTCCGGATTAAACATTAACTGAAAATAATTCCGGTGACTTATCTCTCTTCACTTGGCACAGAATTTTGGTGACGGAGATCTTCATCGATCCTAAGCAAATTACGTTAAAACTTTGTCGAAGAAATTGAAAAATTCGCTCCAAATATTTCCCTTTGGTTTTTGTAACGTGTTCAATAGACACCAACGTAGAATACGTGGTTTTTACCAAATAGGAGCATAAGTTTTTATTAAATCGAAATCAAATCCAACATATTGACAATCTTTTGGAAATTTTTTTCCTCGAGTGAAGGATTCGGAATTTGAACATGCTGTTCCTTTCACTAACATTCTCCATGCGACTCGCGATAGGCAAAACCTCAATCAATATTGTGAAACTAAGAATTCATTTATTTATGTCAAAACTACCTCTTGAAATGCAAAGTTTTTTTCGATATAGCGATAAAAAACGAGGATTTAGAGCTTGCTCTCCTTTTTAACAATCCTATTAAAATACAATTCATTTGTATAAAAAAAATAAAAAAAAAAAAAAAAAAGAGCGAACGGGGAATAAAACAATCCTTTTAGCCCAGGAAGGACGAACTCGCAGAGATCAAGAGTCCACATGGCACTGCGCATAAGTTCAACAAAGAACAGCAATGATAACGATACAATGATAGTAATGACGGTAATTTTAGAACAATAATTAGAATAATTATAACAAATACAGAAATAATGACGATGATAATAGCCAAAATAATTAGGACTTTTATACTTGTAAATGCCTAGAATGTTTACATCTGAATGAAATTTAGAACCAGATTTCCTGAGGATGCAAGGTCAGTCAGAGTTGGAGGGTAAATGCGCAAAATTCACACATTACTTGACAGGAAGCTTTAAAAGCGCGCAAAAGAAGAGAAAGAATTGAACGATAAATCATTGAAGATTTTTTTTTTTCATGTGTCTATACATAAACCGGAGTAACGATCGTCACTTCGGTTCGAGGATTCACTTGGACTTGGACGTTCCTATAAACAGAAAGATTATAACTTATAATTAATCAACCTCGTAACTGACAGTCTGAAGGGCAAACTCATGAAAAGAAAGAAATACTCATTATGATGCACAAAACCCTGCCATGTTACCTCGTGCTACAAGTAGGCGCGAAATTAGCCAAGCGCATTATAGGTTACCTCAGAGCGCTGCAGGCTACTTCCTCTGTTAGCAACGTTCTTTATGATTTGCCAAGCCACCACAGTGAGCAGACAAAGCGTACTTATCAGGTCAGGAACTGTCATGGCAAGTTCTTTTGTTCTTTTTGATGTATCCATGGAAATAACCCAAGGGCCGTTGCAGTCTAGGGGTTACACACAAAAACGTCGTTGCCTGTGGACAAACGCTATTTACCCATGGGTAAAAGGGCTAGTCTGACCAAGCGACATTAGACAATGGTTAAAATAGGCGGCCTTCGTATAGTCAATAGGATTTACCCTTCTTGCTTCTTGCGGGTAACAAAATTGCGCGTATTATCTAAGGGAAATGAATAAAGGGGGTAAGTTTCTAAAGAAACTGTGGAGCTGCGTCGGTGGGAGAGTATAGCAGGTAACTTAGTGTTAACAACTGAGTTGAAAACGTAAATTGGCCTCCGTTAAGAGTTAAAAGGCTGACGTTTCGAGCGTTAGCCCTTTGTCAGAGCGATAGACGAAGGGCCAACTTTCGAAACGTCAGCCTTTCAACTCTTTACGGTGGCCAATTTACGTTTTCAACTCAGTTGTTAACACTAAATTACCTGTTCTAAGGGAAAGTCTGTTTCATGGCTTTGAAGTTCTTCTGTAACGCAGTGGTGGTCTAATCTGTGCCGAACGCTCGACTGACCTATTGGTCCTACTGGAACATGGGAAAAACAGATTTTCATTTTTTCTACCCCACTTCAATTAATTGTTCAATGATACTGCTGACTTTGCCATAACTTAAAGAATGGAATTGACGTTTTTTTTTTTCAAACAACATTATTTAGATAGCTATTTTCACAACTTCACCTGTGTTAGTCATGCTATTTTATTAATTAAGCTTTCAAAATTCTGCAAACATAAGAAACGAAACATTCAGGATTGTTTATCATCTTGAAATGTTATTCGAAATTAATTTGACCTATTCTTACTGTAGTGTATTGCGTTACATTTCGTTACCACTGTAAGGTACAGAGAAATAGCCAAATATGGTAAACAGTTACAATTGATACAGAGTTTAAAGTTTGAAAGCTAAAAGATATACATTAGAATCATCAAACCCTATGCATCCTAGCGAAAAATAGGGTCAATTACGACTATAACTTTCCCCAAACGTTTATGTTTACAGGAAATCATAAATTTTTGTCTTTAAGGCACAAAGTGGTACTGTACTTATCAATCGTGTCGTAAATCTACTTTCCTAATGGTATGGTAAATATACTATCTTGATCACTGAATAAAAGAGAGTTGAACTAAAGCATGCAATGAGAGAAGTCACTTGACCTATGAATACTCTACTAACCACTATTTAACTATGCTATGAAAGCCAGATGGATAAGATATATACGTATATATATGCTAATGTATCTGAGGTCAATAACTGACATATTACACTTGCTACCACTAGCACTTTCTCTAAGTTACATTTATAATGAGGAAGAATTTTTTTCGTCCTTGTCATTTATTCAGAACTACGCCTTCTACAAAAACCACATCTTTTTTTAGAGCCATAGGTCCAAGTAGACTTGCCTCGTCTCTGGTGTCCTAAAATTTTATCAGCTGGTTGAATCGTGAAGACAATTCATCAACAGAGGTGTCTTGAACTTGCTCTTTTTTATATAGAGAGAGCACGCTACGTAGTTGATAAGCTGTCTTTTTGTCTCTTTCAGTTATTTTTCCTCTATCATTTCTCTCCATATCATCAAGGTCAATTCCAACTTCCAATTCACGCCACGAGTTTGGATTCATGGCTTGTAAGGTTACACCTGCTTCGTTCAGGTTTCGGAGGCCATTTTGATTTTTTTCATTTTTTATATAATACAAGTATGAAAACTGGATGATGAACTTCGTGATTTTCTTTTTGCGACTTTCATAAAATGTTTTTAATATCTTTGCACATTCACTACAGGGTGAGTAGTTTAAAGTCAGAATGACTTCGATATTACTATTATGAGCTACTGCTTTAAGAAAGCCATCATCGTTAAGCATTACTTCTTCTGCATGCCAAAAGTTTGGTTTGTTTTTGAAGAAATCTTTGAAAATCTCCACACCATTGTCGGTTTTGACGACAGCGATTAGGTACGTGCGCTTCGGCCATTCGGTACCTTTGACCCCAGTCCAAAGTAAAGATTTAAGGAACTTGTCTGTGGCGTAATCAAACAATATAATGATCAATCAAAAGTAAAAAATAATGGAGATAACTTACAGACGTAAAAGTTTGAAAAAAATCACATTTTGAAACACGAAACCTTATCTCTTGGTTTTTTTCCTTCGCGCCAGTGAAACGAGAATAACTGAAATGCAATTGATCGGAAGAGTTGCCGATTAACCTTGTCGAGCGCTTATCAAAAGGTGATTCGTTACAAGTTACGAACACCTAATGAATTAGGTCTCCAGGACACGCATTAAGTGGTTGAAAATATAACCCGAAGAGGGTTTGTAGGAAGCAAAGAGACACAACAATATTGATATAGAGTGTCGCAAATGCACTCCTCCTCGAAATAGATTGTTAAAAATCTGCTCTGAAACAAATGCAAGCTCTATCATCGTCAGACGCTCCTGCCATAGATGCAAGTATCAGTTCGTTATTCAGAGAAAAAACCTAACCCTAAACTATCTATATGGGGCGTTATCGAAGTTGACAGGTGTTTAGCAAGCGACCACGGGACATTAGGCAAGGGTTTAAACAGGTGGCCTTTGTAAAGGTAACGGGATCTCCTCTTCTAGCTTCTTACGGGTAACAATATTGTATAAAATCTGATTGTTGGAATGTTTATGGAAAAACGTTTGATGACCCATCAATTTTCATCTCTAAAAAATTGAAAATGAACTTTCCCTGAACTGTGAAAAAGATATCGAACTAGGGTATGTAACGGAGAGTGTACTAAGGCCTAAATTTTAGAGAAAAAAGAGAGAGCCTCTAATGGTGAAATAAACTATTAATGATCAGACGCCTGGTGCCTCCCGTTTGCGTGAGTTGTTTGAGCCAGTTTACCCCAACAGTCCAGTAGATTGTATATTTAAACATGCTGCATTTCTAAAAGCCTTTAGCTCTAAAATTCGGGGGAAATAAAGAATAATTTTTAATAACAGGGGCAAAACCGATTGAAACCGGTTTTTAGCTGTTTTAAAGCCAAGTGGTTGAAATAATCGCCCTTATGATTTCCCTCGTGGTAAACAGCATTGCTATTAAAAATAAAGGTAATTCAAACATTTCTTTCGCAATTAGAGTGTCGTTGTATACTGTGGCCAATATTTGGGTTTCACTGGAAGGTTCGTAAAGTGTTCCTAAACTCGCAAATAAAAATAATAAATACATAATTAATCGAACGTGGCGCCAAAAAAGACAAATTGAAATGAGTAAAAAGCTGAATACGTTTCTATGGCAAGAATATTTACACCTGAATTTTGCATTTTATCGGAGTTATTGTCGATTATCTTAGTCAAGCGCTTATCGAAAGGGTGATTTTTAAGGCGTTGCTAACCAACCGTTTCGAACCGTCAAAATACCAATATTAGTTTCCAATATTAGATTCAAACCGTCAAAATACTAATAAATTAAGTCCTCAGGACACGCATTCAATGACTAAAAATATTACCCAAAGAGGGTCTGAAAGAAGCAAAGAGATAACGATATCGATGTAGAGTGTAGAAAAAGTACCAAAGGAAAGCTATTTTCATCACTTCGCAGTCCTCGAAAGAGATTGTTGAAAATCTGTTCTAAAACAAATGCAAGCCCTACCTTCATGAGACACTCCTATCATCCTTTTTACCATGGTCAACACTTTGGTTCCATTGGAAGGTTCGTAAAGTGTTCCTAAACTCGCAAATAAAAGTAGTAAATACATAATCGATTGAACGCGGCGCCAAAAAGAGACAAATTGAAATAAGACAAAGGTTTAAGGTGGCTCCACAAGGTTTTTGACCGCTTGAGGTTTGGGTGCAAATATAGCACGAACTTTCAAAGTGTCAAAACTCGATACGATCCCACAATTCCTATCGGAAAAGGTGTATTAAAAACAGTTTAACACGATACAACTTTTATGTGATGAAATCTAGGCTTTCAAGCAACTGCACCCGTAATATTAATAGGCCTTCTACGCCTGAAAGAGGGGTTAACCGAAAAGAAAACACCCAGGGAAAGATTGCCAAAAGGCAACAGAGTCGAAAGTCTACGCATGCTCAGAAATCGATCTTGGCGAAGTTCTATTCCATTACGTAATGCTTTGCGATAAAGAAGATATGGATATTTCGAGTAAGATTTATCGCTTTTCCTTCGGTCAAATTTCGTAAGATTTGCTGGACCGTTAAACATATTTGTGTTTCTCCTAGTGCCTGTTGATAAAAAATTGATAGGACCAAATTTGCGGTTAACAATATTTAAAAACATCTGATTATTGGAATATTTAAGAAAAAAAAGTGTGATGGCCTCTCAATTTTCATCGTGGTTTAAGTAGAAAATTAACTTTTCTTGAGCTGCCCAGATTTCCTGAGGATGGAGGGTTAGTCAGAGAATGAGGGTAAGAGCGCAAAATTCACATATCACTCGAAAGAAAGCTTTGTAAGCGCGCAAAAGAAGAGAAAGAATTGATCGATAAATTAGTGAAGGTTTTTCTTTTTTTTTCATGTGTCTATACATAAACCGGAGTGACTATCATCACTTCGGTTCAAGGATTCACTTGGACTTGGACTGGCGTGGTCCCTGTCTGGTTCAAACTTAAGGTGATTTTGTTCTTTTTAAAGTAACCATGGAAATAACCCCAGGGCAGTTTCGGTCTAGATGAAAACCCTGGTTACCTCACGCTACAAGTAGGCGCCAAATTAGCCAAGTGCATCAAAAACGTCCTTGCCCTGTTTATGATTGGCCAAGTCACCCAAGGCAAAAACGCTTTTTACCCATGGGTGAAAGAGCCAGTGTAACCATGTGAAATTAGATAATGATTTAAACAGGTGGCTTTCGTAAAGGCAACAAGATTTCCCCTTCTTCCTTCTAGCGGGTAACAATGTTTTATAAAATCTGATTATGGAATATTTATGGCAAACTTTTTATGACCCATCAATTTTCATCTTAGTTTAAATTGAAAATTAACTGCCCCTGAACTGCAAGTTCGAAAAAGATACGAAACTATCGATCACATGAACACATTAAAAAAGAAAGATTCTGCAAGCTATCGTTAAAATTCTCTAAAGAAGGTTCGAAGGAGTCGACACAGTGATTTGAATCATGTATGTATCGCGTACGTTCTAAGGGAAAGCCTGTTTCATTACTTTAAAGTTCTTCTATAACGCAGTGGTGGTCTAATCTGTGCCGAACGCTCGACTGACCTGTTTTATTTTTTACTGGAATGAGAGAAAAACAGATTTTCAGCTTTTTCTGTCCACTTGAATTAATCGTTCAATCAGACTGGTGCTATAACATAAAGAATGAAATTCACGTTTTTTTCCTTCAAACAACACTGTTTACCGCAAATACTGTATTCACAACTTTATGTGTCTCAGTCACACCATTTCATGAATTAGGCTATCAAAATTCTGCAAAGATAAAAAACGAAACATTAAGGATTTTTTATCATCTTGAAATGTTATTCGAAATTAATTTGACCTATTCTTACTGTAGTGTATTGCGTTACACTGAGTTACCACTTGAAGGACATTTGAAAAACCATGCGCCATTGAAAGCTCGAGCAAGAGCATTTAATGCAATCTACATAATAGTATTACATGTTACAATGTGGTAATTTACAAAACATAATTATATAATCAAACAATTCCAAACAGAGGAAGTTAGGTTATAGACTCACCTGCTTTAGCTTTTGAGGGCTTAAGGTACAGAGAAACAGATATGGTAAACAGTAACAATTAATACAAAATTGAAAGTTTGAAAGCTTGAAGATATACGTTACAATCATCAAACCCTATGCATCCTAGCAAAAATAGAGTCAATTAGCCCCACAACTTCTCCCAAACATTCATACTTACAGGAAATCCTTAATTTTGTCGCTAGGTGGGACTGTATTAGCTCAATCGTGTGGTAAATCTACTTTCCTAAATTAGAGTAAAATAACTAATTACAAGTATTGTATGGTAAATGTACTATGTTGTGCTATCACTGAATAAAAGACAGTTGAATTATAGCGTGAAATGAGATAAGTCACTTGACTTATGAATACTATACACTAATCAATATTTGACTGTGCAGATGGATTATAAATGTAGATGGATTATATATATATATATATATATATATATATATATATATATATACATATATACATATATATATATAACTATAACATCGAGCTAGTGGCTGAGGTCAATAACCGATATTACACTTGCTACCACTAGCACTTTCTCCAAATTATCCTAAGAGTACTTTTTCTCTACTCTGTCATTTGTTCAGAGCTACGCCCTCTCCGATAACCACACCGCTTCTAAGAGCCATAGGTCCAAGTAGACTTGCCTCGTTTCAAGTTCACAAAAATTTTAACTGCGATTGGAATAGTGAAGACAATTCATCATCATTAGAGGTGTCTTGATCATGCTCGCTTTCATATGTAGAGAGCACTTTATTTAGCATATCGGCCTGGTCTTCGTCTCTTTCCGTTATTATTTCTTTATCTTCTAAAGCCATCAACTCAAGGTCAATTCCAACTTCACGCCACGAGTTTGCATTCATAGCTTGTAAGGTTATACCTGCTTCCCTTAGGTTTCGGAGCCCATGTTGATTTTTTTCTTCTTCTATACGATATAAGAATGAAAACTGGATGATGGGATTTCTGATATTTCTGTTTTTTTCATAAAATTTTTAATTCACATGCACAGCTACTACAGGGTGAGTAGTTTAAAGTCAGAGTGATTTCAATGTCATGGTGAACAGCCACTGCGTCACCAAAGTCATCATCGCAAAGCATTACTGCTTCTGCATGTTTTAGAAAAGGTTCGTTTTTGAAGCGCTTATTGAAAATGTCTTCTCCGTCTTTGGATTTGATAGAAGCGATAAGGTAGGTACGATTTGGCAATTTTGTATCTCTGACTCCAGTCCAAAGTAATTCATTCAAGAAATCGTCTAGAAAACAAAACAAAACAAAAAAAAAACGAAAATAAAATTATCATTAGTATGTAGAAATAGGGATATATTCTCAAATCAAATTCGAAAAAAGTCACAGAGCCAGAAAGGAAACTATGCAAATAAAACACGCAATAAACTATTTGCAACGTTCTTGTGCCAAGTAAAACGAGCCGTTTAATTCTAGAGTTAATAATATACATTGGAAAATTACTCAGTTCTGTTTGCTTAAGATAAATGCAGTTTTCAAGTAATTCAGTGCAGAAGAGAGCTAATTTAGTGCAGAAGAGGGTTAATTCAGCACAAAGAAAGTAACAAATAAGACATTCTGGTTGGTCAATAATCAAAGAAACTCACAGACAGCCAATCAAATGCGATCCCTGTATGTCGCAACAAAATTTGAAAATTTTCGAGCGAAGCAAGTAGAAACATCTTCGGTACTTGTAATACATTTTTTAAAATGTTATTTATCAGCGTTTAGTCATTAGAAGAGGTTTCGCTACGGTGTCAGATTTCAAAGTAAGACTGTGAGATGTTATTAATTCCAACCTCGAATGATCTAAAAGAAAGTAAAGTTTGCCGTGTCTCGACTCTTCTAAGCTGAACCGGCTGCAACATGAACGCTTGTCTGACTATGATTGTCCAGCGGGTTTCGGCGAAAATTCGGACAATTAAATTTTAGCTATGAGGAAATGGGGATATTTTGAAATAACCTTTTGGAGGCAGTTTTAAAAGTTTTTAGGATATGGATCATTTTCCAGCAAACAAAATATAAATGCCAATTCTGAACTCAATTCTGTTCTTTAGGTAGAAAAAAAGACTGCATGTTATAAGATATGTTATGAACTACTAAAATTAGAAGTGTTTGGGAATTGTTTAGGCCTGTTTGATTGTCCCGAAATCCTTATGCGAGTCTTGTGAGCCTTAGTTGGCTATTAAATTCACTCATTTATTTTTACCCTCTGAGTGATATGTGTCCTTGACTGTTGTAGCAGGGCTTACTGCTCGTACAGTGATCGCCATTGCTGGTCGTATTTGGATTTGTCCTTGACCTTGCTTAGAGTTCCAACGGGAAGTTTTGTATAGGGTTTCGATCTCGAAGATCGGTTGTTTTTCAAGTACTTTGTTGTTGATTTCGAATGTCTTGATAATTAAGAGCTAGTTCTTAGAGCTGAATTTTTAGAGAATATCTTGGACAGTGTTTTCGAAAGGGAAATAAACTATTTCTGATCGGACACCTGGTGCCCCCCGTTTGCGCGTGTCGTTTGAGCTAGTTTACCCCAACAGTCCAATTGATTGCATATTCAAAAATGTTGCATTTCCAAAAACGTTTAACGTTCAAATTTAGGGGAAATAAAGTATAATTTTTAGTAACAAGGGCAAAACCGATTGAAATCGGTTTTAGCTGTTCTAAAGACGCGTGTTTGAAATAAACGCTTATGAGATTTTCCTGGTGGCAAACCGCATTGTTGATAAAAAAAGGATTACTCAAACATTTCTTTCGCAATTAGAGTGTCGTTGTATACCATGGTCAATATTTAGTTTTCACTGGAAGGTTCGTAAAGTGTTCCTTAACTCGCAAATAAAAATAATAAATACAAAATCGATCGAACGTAGCGACGAAAAGGGACAAATTGAAATAAGTAAAAAGTTTAATACGTTTCTAAGGCAAGAATATTTACAGCTGAATTTTGCATTTTATCGGAGGTGTTGCCGATTATCCTTGTCGAGCGCTTATCGAACGGGCTATTTTTAACACGTTGCTAACCAAAAGGCGATTCATAACAAGTTTCGAGCCGTGAAAATACCAATGAATTAGGTCTTCAGGACACGCATTAAATGATTAAAAACATTTAATATAAATTTAATCTGTAGGAAGCAAAGAGAGACAACGATATTATATTGATATAGAGTGTTGCAAATATACTTAGGAAAGCCACTTTCATCACTTTGCATTCCCCCTCCAAATAGATTGTTGAACATTTGTTCTGAAACAAATGCAAGCCTTACCTTCGTCAGACACTCCTGCCATCGATGCAAGTCAGTTTGTTGATCAGAGAAGAAAACCCGGTTAAACTATCAATATAGGGTATTATCAATGACGACAGATGTTTAGCAAGCGACCACATAACATCAGACAATGGTTTGAATTGGCGGCCTTCGTTTAAGCAACGGGATTTCCCCTTCTTGCTTTTTTGGGCAAAAATATTTTATAAAATCTGATTATTGGAATATTTATGGAAAAAATTTTGATGACTCATCAATTTTCATCATGGTTTAAATTGAAAATTAACTCCCGCTGTGCTACAATAAAAGATATGAAACTATTTCATGATCAGAATAAATTTGGCCTTCGAAACACTCTACAAGCTATCTTTCGTTATTCAGAGAAAAAAAAAACCCAGTTAACTATCAATTTAGAGTATTTCAAAAGATCACAGATTTTTAGAAAGCGACCACGTGACATTAGGCAATGGGTTTAAACAGGTGGCACTCGTAAAGGCAACGATTTCGCCTTCGTGCTTCTTGCGGAGAACAATATTTTATAAAATCTGGTTATTGGAATCTATCATTACCTGGTGCGCGGGAAAAACAAAACACCAAGCCAAAACTATAATTGATTCAAGCTGTAGAAACAAGCTCAACGTACCGTTCACCCCGAGTCACACCTAATTTCGGCCGTTAAGATTTAGTTAAAAGTAAATAAAAGGTAAATTTTAATCTGAAACAAAATGTAAGTTTTACCTCAGCCAAGAGCTTCTTCCATTTATTCAAGTATTACTTCAATATTTAAGGAGAAATCATATTATGATTGTAGATTATTCTGCCAAAGAGGACTGGTGTTTGGCGAGCGCATGGCATGAGACAATGTTTTGAGCGGGAGACCTTCGTCAATAGCAAAGGTAAAATTTTCATCTTGGTTTAAATAAAAATTAACTTCCCCTTAGCTGAGAATAAAAAGATGAGATACAGCAAGAGGTTATATCCTTTTAGATATATGAAAATTCATATATTTGCACTGCGGTGGAGAGATGAAATTAAGAGATCCTCGCAGCTAAGAACACTACTGAAACGAGTAGTTGTAAATAGGACCTGAAAAAAATTCAGGCCCGTACGGGATTTGAACCCACGACCTCTGCGTACCCAATTCATTGACCAGCTCCCAGTTGAAATAATAATGGGGGTCTTACAATCTTTCAGGAACACCTGCAGAACAGGTTACAAGTGTAACTATGATGTCGATAATTTTAGAATAATTAAAATAATGATAACAAATATAGAAATAATAGCAATGATAATAGCGATAATAATTAGGGCTTTTATACTTGTAAATACCTGGAGTGCCGGGGGAATTAGAACCAGACTTCCTGA